TGATGTTAAGCTAGTTCTTCTGCTAGGTACTCTCTGGAGGTTTGGTGTCAGAGTTGTGAAAAAACATAAAGAGTAGTTTCAAGTAATAAAACTATCACGAGTGATAGTTTTAAGTGAAAGGAATTTAGAGCACAGGATGTAGGAAGAAGCTTCACTGTGATAGCCCACAGGATGTAGGAAGGAGCTTCACTGTGATAGACCATAAGATGTAGGACGCTTTAGTGTGAGATCTACTTGTTTGCCAAAATATTGATCTGCCAAAGAGGAAGGCAACTATCTGTGGTTCATTCCTAGAGTTTTCATTAGTTAAACTCCTATCACAAGAGGGAAGACTGAAGTATGTTTTAAAATTACTTTCAAAATTATCTATGTATGTGTACATATTATATATGTGTATAAGTATATATATATATTTTGTAAACAGAAATTACATTTATATCATTTAATTCTCATCCCTCTAATTTCTGTATTTCCTAACTTCCTCTCTAATTCCTGGTCTCTTTATTTAAATATATATATATATATAATATATATCATATATACATATATATACTTAATTATACACACATGCTAACAAAATGTAAATACAGCCTGCTGAGTCTTAAAACAAGTTCTAGCCACACACCCTGTCATCCACACCATTGTCACACAACGTTTTCTTCTATTTTGAGCCTGTTTATTCTGCTCTTCCGAAGAGAATTCCTTGCAGTCCTTTGTTCTGTGGGCACAGTGGGCTCTGTTCTTCAAAGTGTCTCCAAGCCCATGGATTCTCCTACACATCATTTACCATTGTGCCCCCGAACTGTCTGCATTCTGCCTTCTCCCGCCCCTCTGGGAAGTGGGGTAGAGGATTCTGTCTCCTGTTGCTCTGGCACAAACTCTCCTTACGAATACTTATGGGCACATAAATAATTAGCGTGTTTCTCCTATTAAATAGACAGCAGTTCATTTCTGGATACCTTCCCAAGGCACAGGCAACCCTCCTTTTGTGCCTTCACTCTAGGGCATTAGACTTCAATGGTTGTTTAGAATTTACGTGTCAGTTCATGGCCCTCCCCAGGTAGTTCTCAAAGCAAAAGGAACTTTAATTCTGAAAGCTTTGGTCCTAGAAGGTCATATGACATAATTGCATTAATGACTGTGTTTGGACTTTTACCAGGAAGACAAATTTTACTTCTGATTTGTGAGAGGCATGTTTTCCATTTAATTACCAGTTGGGAAAAAAAAAAAAAAGGAAGGTAGTGAATGGATAGGCAGGACATTTCTAATGAGCCTTTGCTATTTTCTTATTATATTTTAACAGAGAATTTATTGTTCCCTGAAATTATATTTGCCAGTTTACATAGACTGTGACAGGATGGTGGCAAATTTGAGAACAAAAAAACCTCTCATCAGAGGAATGCAGTCAGGATTTAGATAAGTCTGATCTAATCGGCTCAGCTTTCTGAGAGAACATCTTGAGTCTGTGCTTTGCTTAACATCATATCCAGTCTATGAATCAGCTTCATTCAGATGGCCAGGAAGCTGGGTGAGAGGGGCACACCTTTTCCAGAAACAAGATTCATAGTCTGTAAGTCTGGATGGCTTCATAACAAAATACCAATATTCGAACCACAAATCATTCAGCATCCGTATTTCTACAGAGACACAAATGTTTATCTGATAATTATAGTTTTTCCTTTTCCCAAAGTGATACAAAGAAGTCATTCACGATGCTTCTTTTCTGGAGATCTCTTTGAAGGCAGTGCATTCTGTAACCCTCAGCACTGTGCGAGAAAGGCAGTGGTCTGCGTTATGAGGAAATAAACATGATACAGATAAGGTTTGCTTTCTATTTTATTTGATTTTTTTTTTTTTTTTGCTGAACGTTTAACTGTAACTCCATGTTCCAGTAATAAGTTTTTATAGTTCTAGAAAATTCTGAACTTTGTGTCAATTCTTTTATTATGAGGAATGGTATTAAAGATAATTAATTCTAAGGTGGGTATGGTGGCACACATCTGTAATCCCAGCACGTGGAAGTAGAGGCAGGGTGATCAGAAGCTCAAGACCACCATGGTGGTGTAAAGGAGAATGGCCCCCATAGATTCATATATTTGAAGGCTTGGTTGTTAATTGATGGACTGTTTAGGAAGGATTAAGAGGTGTGGCCTTCTTGGAAAAGGAGTGTCACTGGGAGTGGCTTTGAGGCTTAGATACCTCACTCTAGGCCCAGTTTCTCTCTCTTTCTGCCTTCAATTTGCAGATAAGATATAAGCTTCAGCTACTTCTCCAGCACCATGCCTGCCTACCTGCTGCTGTGTTCCCCACTATCATGGTCATGGACACACCTTCTGAAACTGTAAACAAGCCTCCAATTAAAAGTTTTCTTTTATTAGTTGCTTTAGTCATGGTGTCTCTTCACAGAAATAGAGCTGTAACTGAGACAGTCCTTCTCATGGACGTAGTGCATTTGTAGTCAGCCTGGGCTACATGAGACCTGGTTTAGAAACAAAAAGAAAATCTTGGTTTGGTGATGGCATGCTCTTTCAATCCCAGCATTTGGGATACAGCAACATGAGGATCTCTGTGAGTTTAAGGCCAACCTGGTCTATATAGTAAGTTCTAGGACAGCCAGGATTACACAAAGAGATACTGTCTCAAGAAAAAGGAAAAAAGATGATTAGTTCTGTTTTTAAAGGGAGCAGGAGGGAGAAAAGGGGGTTCTGTGGGCTGTGTGGGTAGGTAATGGGGGGTGATCAGATTAAATTGTTTACATGCACTAAACTGCCAAATAATAAAGAAAAATATTTTCATAATGGCAACAAATCACTTTAGCCATTTTTGGACAGATAATCTTTTGGTTGTAAATACAGTATTAAGAATTTGCAGTTATTTATAGTTATTTATAATCCTAACACAATAGGTAGCTCTCACCTGCTCCACTGTGGGTTAATACAATCTTAAATTATCTCCTTGGTCCCTTTTCTTCCCTTTCCTTACTAGAACCATAGAGAAGACCACATGATAAAATTCGTTATTTTGTTTTGGAGACAAGGTTTCTCAGTATGACAGCCTTGAATGTCCCGGAACTCACTTTAGAGACCAGTGCTGGGGTTAAAAGTGTGAGCCACCATGCCTGGATCAACCAAGCATCACTTACACCCATTTTTCTTCTAAACCTTAGTTTAGTTATAACTTTAACAAAGCCTATGTCATCTCTTAAAACAGTCACAGCACTGTTTTGCATCCCACAAAGAAATGGACTGACAATGTTGCCATGGGAAAAAGCTACAGGGAATGCCATGGAGCAAAACGGAACTATACCCTTTAGAAACAAAATGGTTCAATCAAGCACTTCCAAACACACACACACACACATACACACACACACACACACACACACAAACATACCACTATGCCCATTTTGGTCTGTAGTTTCAGAACTAGCTAGCAGATGCCTTTACAAGTTCTCAGAATCATGAAGGACAGCCTTTGCTCACCCATATTTGCATGATAAACGGTTCAGGCCCACTCACCTTCTCTATTACTAACTGTTTTTATCATGGTTGTTAGTTTCCAGGCCACAGTTTCTGCTGTGGTGGCACTTCGGGTGTGGGCTTCACAGCTTCTGCATTAAGAGGAGACATGTCAAAGAAAGCTCTGAGGCTGCCAGGAACATTTGCTGTTCCATGGCCCCGTGATTGGCTTCATTTCACGTAATCTTTCTTCAATTCTGTCTTCAGATTATCTGCATCTTCAATTTCTATTTTTTATCTTATACTTTATGTAAGAAAAGGGTTTATACATACACATATGCATATATAATATATATAAATAATATATTATTTCTCAAAACAAAACATTGTTCTCAATGCAGTAGCCATGTGAGAAAATAATTCTATTCATTTGGAAAATCTTTATTTGTTACCATGCCAGCACACCGTCCCTTCAAATGCCTATTTGCACAGACTTTTGCCTGTTGCCAGGCATTTGTTTTATACCTGTAATTACAAATTCAAGGCCAGCCTGGGCAGCTAAAATCACTAAGAAGATTTCTATTTGTCAAAATGAATAATACAATTGTATCTAGAAGTGTAATAATGAAATTGGAAAAGCCACACTAATGCCATAAAATAAATCACTTTAATAATTAATATACATAAATAGTTCATGGTGGAAACAATAAAGTAAAATCAACTCTGTACTATCACAAATTTACAAAATTTTAAAAATATATTTATCGTCTTACATTCAAATAATGGTGAAAAACTGAAGGCTGTATTTTTTTTCTGAATGAGTTTCCTTTTATATTTTATGAATATACATAATATAACAGTGATTTACGGCATGACAGTGCTTAGTAACTTTAAAGAATTGGAATACAATTCTTACTTAGAAATTAATTAATCAAACTAATTAAAATCATATGCATAACTTTTTTTTGAAAAATAAATTAGGCACTTTCTCCTGAAATTATTGTCCTATTAAAGTGTTTAAGGTATAGTTACATTCATTTCTGGCAATGCTCAGACGTTATCTGCTGTTGCTTTAAGTAGGATGAGGTGAGGTGCAAGCTGTTCACTAAGAGAAGCGGCAAAGACAACACAATGTAGAATTAGTTTAAAAGCCCAAATTGCATATGATACAGATAAAAATTTTCTCTTAAAAAGACTGTTTTTAGGCCTTTGAGGTAACACAGTCTTTGACTGTTATCAAATGTCATTTCTAACCATGTTACGCTGTGATTTCCATCCTCTATAGGTCGCCGTCCCTATTGCGATTCAAAGCATTCTGATTTATCAACTGACTAATATGGACAGGACAGAGAGAAATAAATAACTGCACTCTGCTCTCTGTGTGGCCCACAGAAGCAATGCCTTTGGCACGCAGGAAGATAGTTTGGTCCACACTGGCAGCCAGGTGCCAGAAGCCGCTGGCAGAGAGCAAAATGAAAATACGCCCAAGGGGACTGGCAGTGGTATTTCTGAGGCAAATTCTTTGAATTACCTAGAAACCAGGCGATTTAAGCTTAACCAAGTCAGAAAGTCTTGCATTCAGCCGGCAGTAACACTTGGGTGGTATTTTGTAGAAGAGTGTGCGGCCGGTTGTTTTCTCGTCCTCGCTTTACTTTTCTTTTGCTTGTTTTCTTTTGCCTTGGTTTTGTTTGTTTTCTTTTTCTTGTTTTCCTCTTTATACCACGGGCCCCAGACTCCTCCGTTGAGTCGAGGGTTGCTTCTGGGATCCTTCGGGGGATACCTGACTGGCACGGCCGTCTTGTTGAACTGTGACAGCCTCCGCAGCAGCTTCTTCACGATGCCAGGATACCGGCTGGAGAGGTCCACCCTCTCGTATGGATCAGCGGTGATGTTGAAAAGCCAGATGCTTTTGCCAGTTGACAAGGTAATCCTCTCGTTGTGCCATCGGTTTGGGCCCAGATTGCTGAAAGCCTGAGGGGGGACCCAGTCGCTGTAGCCAGGATTTCCTGTGAGCAGCTTCCAGTGTTGCACCCGGATGGCTGATTGGATTGCCGTGTTCCAGATTCCATAGCCTGCTGCCCAGGAGCCATTTTTCGCCTTGGTGTAAATGGGGTCAATGTTGTGCAAAATATCCACTCGGGGTGAACGAAGACCTTCACTTATCGTCTCCCAGATATCGTATCCATCCAGCTGAATGTCTTCATCAATCTGCCCTTCCGCCAATGAAATCAGGGTTGGGTACCAATCTGTGATGTGCACAAGTTCCTTACACACCGTTCCCTTGTTTTTCAGAAGTGGACTATGCACAAAGCCAACTGCCCGGATGCCCCCTTCCCAATATGTTCCTTTACTACCTCTGAGAGGCCAGTTACTTCCTCCTGCTGTGGGCTGTCCGCCGTTATCTGAGGAGTATATGATAATGCTATTGTCATAGAAGCCATACTGCTTTAGAGCCAGGGTCACATTGTGGATCGCTTCATCCAAGCATGAGAGCATGGCTGCGTACCTCCTCCTGTTTATGTTGATGATGGATCGGTAGTGTTCAAAATACCTGCCAGGAGCCTGTAGTGGTGAGTGCACAGCTTGGTAAGCAACATATAAAAATATAGGTTTGGCGGGGTCATGGGAAGCTAGGATTTGCTGCACTCTCTGAGTATACATCTGTGTTGAATATATGCCATTGTCATAGTCCCAAGCAGCGTTATCATTTTCATATAAGTCATAGCCACACATCCCGGGGCTGTCACATTTGTAGTGGGTATAATAATCTCCACTTCCCAAAAGGGAGCCAAAGAAGGTATCAAATCCTCTCTTGGTGGGCATGCATTCTTTCCTGTAAAACCCCAAGTGCCATTTCCCAACCATATGAGTTGAGTAGCCGACCTCCTTCAGCTTTTGAGGTAGGGTTGCGTTGTCTAGAGGTAGACAGTTGGGTTGGGTAGGTCTGATGATAGAATGCTGGAGTCCCGTGTGGATCTGATACCTTTAAGGGAAGAGTAAACATCTTGTCAAGGCAGGGTAAAAGGGAAATTCTTTATACAGATGATTCTAAAATTATAAAGTTTCTCTGAAGATCAACTCAACCTCAAAATAGATAAGATCAGCTCTACTCTCGTTCCAAAGCTTTAATTTGGCTTCATGCTTAACAGGTGAAGTACATTTTCAGCACTTTGGCAACTAAGATTTTTACCACTTATCTCAAAGTCTTTTTAAAGTCCTTACAAGGGAATGAACGACTATGAAATTTAGTCTTTTAATTACACGACGGAGTGCTAGTAAGAGAAGGATACACAGAATTGGAGTCTTATATGTCACAGTAGCTTCTGAGAGCGTATGTTTCAAACTAACTCTTATGTTCTAGAACACAGGCAGAATTATTATGAAATAGTCTCCCGGTAGCTTGTCAAACATCATTTCACACTTCACCCCTGACCTGTTGGATCTCTGACAAAGGAAGTGGCTTTGGCTGCTTCTAACAAACCTTGGTGTTTGTAGCTAGTGTTGGCAACAGTTCTTCCAGTGCCACAGGAAGTAAATGTGCTTCTGTTGGCCTGTGTCTCCCCTGCCACCATCAATAAATCACTTGGAATGGAATCTAAGAAAGCAAGGTAACCTTTCTATATTAAAATGACAAGGAAGCTGGTTTCCAGAATTTTTTCCCTACACGTTTTCCCAAGAGATTTCCCCTGAGAATTGGTTGCTATCATATTAAACATGTGAGCTTCATGTGAATCCCTTTACACCTGACTTTCCACAGGGCAGGGAACCCTGACTGCTCTTTGGACTGGAGAGGGAAGGGGAGAGGAATTGGGGGAGGGGGAGGAGGGTGGGAGGAGGGGGAGGGTAATGGGAGGCTGGGAGGAGGCGGATACTTTTTTTTTTCCTTTTCTCAATAATAAAAAAAAGGAATTGACAGAAGTTATTGCATATTCCCTAAATAACTTTTAAAGTACAACAGAAACACAAAGGCTATAAAAACAGTTAGGTGAAGGTGTTAAATGTGAAGGTGTTCTCGGAATCAAATGAATTGTGAAGAGGAAAACTAAGACAGAAAACCCAAAGTTGGGCTGGGAGATGGTTCGATGGGTAAAATGCAAACCTGAATTTAGAGACTCAGAAGCCATATAGGAAAAACTGGGCATGGTGGCTTTTGTCTGTAACCCCAGCAAAGGCGGGGCCAGGCAGATCCCTGGAGCTAAGTGGCCAGTCATCTAGCTGATTCACTGAGCTCCACAGAGATGCACACACATAGACCTCCCAGAACACACACACACACACACACACACACACACACACACACCCTCCCAAACAGACACCTTTTGTCCACAGTGATGTATTCTGCAAGGGTGACATGTCTTATATACTTTGGGTGACTAGTCTGATTTGTGTTTAAATGCCTAGCAGGTAATGTCATGCAAGTGTGAACTTTTGAGTATTGATGGCACATGTATGCTGATGAGTTAGTCGGCACTGGTGACGACTTCTCACTCTTCAAAGCTGCTTTTGCATCTGCCCTTTACTCTACTCATCGTTAGTAGTTAGCATGTCCCAGCAATCGCGGTCACGGGAACTTAAGATGGATATACTCATAAAGACCTTTCACAAGTGTTGTTACACATCCAGTTCAGAAGGTCTTCTTCATAATTTTGGTCTAGTTTAGGATCCATAACAATCACTTGTCATGAAGTGACTACCAATGTAAACTTGGGAAAAAAAACTGAAAGGGGAGAAGTGTTTATTTGTAAAAATTTTAGCAACAATTCACAGGGATACATTATTAAATAAATAGTTATCATACAAAGATCTTATCCTTAATCTAAATGGTTATTTAATTGTTCAAAAGGCTAAAAATTTTAAGTTTTGTAATTAAATTGATTATTTTTCACCTAATGGTAAAGTAAAACGATGATTATCAAAATATAAAAAATGTTATGGGTTGGGGAGAGGAGGGAAGGGAAAATAGAAGAGCGGAGAGGAGGGGAGAGGAGAGAAAACTGCTTTCAGGAGATGGTGTAATGTTGGCAGATCAATGAGAGTCCCAGGGACACTAGTGAACCAAGAGGCTTCTGCCGCTCTGGAAGGTAGAACAGTTTCCATGTTGGGAAATGTAGACTCAATAACATAAAGGCTTGTCATCAACTCATAACAAATGAGAGATTCCTCAAGTTGGTTTCTCTATTGGTAGTTCTGAGACTCAGACTACTGTTGAGTTGGGAAAAGAATGTGGGTCACTGTCAGGTGCTGACATCTGACATAGCTGAGTTTGGATTTCCAGTTACCTGTGAGACTGGGGGCAGACATTAGCTCTGATCTTCAGTTTTCTCATCAGAAATATCTGAGAGATATTGGGCGTGGTAGGCCCTGGAGAGGAGCATGGAGTCTAGGTTAAGGAGAACAGTTTAGTAAATGGCAACTGTCACTGTGCCTACCCCAAAGTGTAGAGTGCTATGTTATGACACATTTGTAGAAAGTTTTACAGATTTTCTTTCAAATGTCCAATTGCACCACATCCTCTGTACTGCAGTGAGGGCAGCTCACAATCTGTGTCTTCATTTCATGACCGGGAAAGCAGATGGGCAGAGAGCTTTGGTGTTTTCTGTTTTGCTTTGTATTTTTCAAATGATTTTATTGAACTATATATTTTTCCTCTGCTCCCCACCCTTCCTTCCCTCTTCCCTTCTACTCTCTCCCGTGACTCCCATACTCCCAATTTACTCAGGAGGTCTTTTCCTTTTCTCCTTCCTATTTAGACCCATGTATGTCTCTCTTAATGACCTCTTTGTTGTCTAGGTTCTCTGGGGTTCTGGACTGAAGGATGCTTTTTCTTTGCTTTATGTCTAAAGCCACTTATGAATGAGTACATATTATATTTTCTTTCTGGGTCTGGGTTATCACACTCAATATGTTTTTTTCTAGATCCATCCATTTGCCTAAAAATCTCAAGATGCCATTATTTTTTACCTCTCAGAAGAGAAAGTGGGATGCACACTAGAATGTATTGACACAGGAGATCACTCTCTATATATAGCCACAGTTGCACAGACAGTTAGAACAACAATTAATAAATGAGACCTCCTGAAACAGAGAAACTTCTGTAAAGCAAAAGACACGACCAATAAGACAAAACGGCAGCCTACAGAATGAGAAAAGATCTTCATCAACCCCACATTGGACAAAGGACTGTTCTCCAAATTATACAAAGAACTCCAGAAACTTGACATCAAAAGAACAAATAATCCAATTAAAAATGGAATAAATTTAAACAGAGAACTCTTAACAGATGATTTCAAAGGACTGAAAGATGCTTAAAAAAATGCTCAACATCCTTAGCCAAAAGACAAATGAAAATCAAAACAACTCTGAGATACCATCTTACACCTGTCATAATGGCCGAGACCAGATCACTGATGACAGACTCTTCCAGCTAGGATGTGGGGTAAATGAAATACCCCTCTATTGCTGGTGGTACAACAAACTTGTACAGCCACTTTGGAAATCAGTATGGCAATTTCTTAGAAAATCAGGAAACAATCTACCTCAAGACCCAGCAATTCCATTTTTGGGTATATACTCAAAGAAAACTCAATCCTACCACAAAGACATGTGCTCAACTATGTTTATAGTAACATTATTTGTAATAGCCAGAACCTGGAAACAACCTAGATGCCCCTCAACTAAAGTATAGATCAAGAAAATGTGGTACATTTACACAATGGATTTGTGGTGTTTTTATGAATCGCCTTAACTTCCCATCAAGCTGTGATACTGATTTTGGAGTAGCATCACTAAGTCTGTTACTCACTCAGTGTTTTAAATTATTAGTTACTGTGAATACTTCTGAAAACATCCAGGGGCCATTGAAAGTGAACCAGATAGTGAGGCTTACACCTATCCCAGAAATAATTGAGAAAAAATTTGAAGTAGATAAATGATTGAGCATTTTGGGCAGGACCCATTTGGGCAAAGGAAAAAGAAAGTGCTGCTGTCCTACATCGCATGTCTCCAGGCCACCCCCACACGTGCCTTCTTCCCTTCCTAAAGTTTTGCTATTTCCTAGGGTGTCCCAGTCAAGACAGCACTAACAGTGGAGGCAACTTAAAGGTACAACTCCTCCTGCCCCAAGACCAAGTGGTGATGGAAACAGTGCTTGCCAGTCATTTGGAAAGCAAACTGCTGTTTCCCTTTGTTCTTTCTCTGGTCAAGAACGTTGGTAGATTGTTTTAATTGAGAACAGGAAGGGGAAGAAATACTTGCCTGACTATTTGGGATGAACATGACTTTCACCTGACTTGCACATGACAGCAGCAACTATCTGGAAGATTATTTCAGGCTATCCGCCATTTTTCTATAAATATGAGATAGGTTCAACTACAATAAAAATATATAAAAATAATTATAATGACTGAAAATTATTTCTGTTAGAATTGCAACTAGTTTAATGAGTATAAGTGAATCCAAGGAATTAGATCCCTTTTACTATAAATTCAATAAACTAAGAGACAGAGTCCCACATTGGAGCACCAGACTACAACCCCAAGGTCCAAATCAGGAGCAGAAGGAGAGAGAGCACGAGCAAGGAACCCAGGGTCATGAGGGGTGCACCCACACACTGAGACAATGGGGGTGTTCTTTCGGGAACTCACCAAGGCCAGCTGGACTGGGTCTGAAAAAGCATGGGATAAAAATGGACTCACTGAACATAGCGGACAATGAGGACTGCTGAGAACTCAAGAACAATGGCACTGGGTTTTGATTCTACTGCAGGCACTGGCTTTGGGGGAGCCTAGGCTGTTTAGATGTTCACCTTACTAGACCTGGAAGGAGGTGGGAGGTCCTTGGACTCCCCACAGGGCAGGGAACCCTTACTGCTGTTCGGGCTGATGAGAGAGGGGGAGTTGTTTGGGGGAGGGGGAGGGATATGGAAGGCAGTGGTGGGGAAGAGACAGAAATCTTTAATAAATAAATTAATTAATTAATAAAAGA